TTACAAGGTTGATCAGACACGAAGGACACACCGACTAAATGCTCACCATTTAGTGAGGGAGACTGTATGATAGTCTATTAAAATTCAGTGAAAAGAGTGAAGTAACAGTAATTTTTTCAGAGGGCTATGATAATGGGCTAAGGAGTGGTACCTAGCCCAGATTAGTAGTGATCAGGGAAGGCTGCTCAGAGAAGGTTAGGCTGGAGGCAGGAGTAAGAGTTAGGTGGATAGGTGATGGGACAAGAGAGAAACAGGGAGAAATGTGTGTTCCAAGAAGAAGGCAAAAACCCAGAAGGCAAAAGAGATTGTCACATTCTGGAAATTGCTGGTGCTTCAGTTTGTATGAAGCATAAAGCATGATGGGGAAGTGGTGGGTGGTTGCCAAGGGTGGAGAGGAGATAGCAGGTATCAGTTTATGTAAGGTGCTCTATTGCCATATTAAAGGATCTGGCCTGTATCCTCTGGGTGATGGGAGATTATTGAAGGAATTTAAGCAGGGGAATGATGCAACAGATTTGCATTTTAGAAAGATTTCTTTGATTCTTGTTATTCAGTGTGGTCTGTGGACCAGCAGCATCACTCAGACCTACTGAATCAGGATCCTCAGGCAATTCATATGTACAAAGTCTGAGAAGCACTGTTCTGAAGGTCAGTGTAGAAGAGAGATTGGTGCAGGGATAAATATTAGGGGATCCCAAAAAGAGCTCTACTCTTTTTTTCTGGTATAAAATACTATGAATAATATTTCTAAAGGCTTCCTACAAATCTATGAGCCTCTGTTTTTGTAATCATCTCTTTTCCTTATTGTGAAACGTGAGGCATTTAAGTAGGGTACCTCCATCATTAAGGAGCCGTGGCGGTGCAGTGGTTAAGTGCTTGGAACCCACCAGCTGCTCCATGGAAGAAAAGACCTGGTAATCTGCTCCCTTAAAGATTACAGCCTAGGAAATCCTATGGGGCAGTTCCACTCTGTCTTATAGGTTTGCTATGAGTCGGAATCGACTCGATGGCACACAACAACACAATCCCCATCATTGCCTACCCTAGAAAGCAAGAAACTCAACATTCCTGAGATCCAGTCTGAGCTTCGCTACTTTCCAGTGTCATTTTTTCTCTCCTCCTCAGGCCTCTATTCTTTTTTACAGTATGATGAGGACAGTCAGTACAATATTATAAGTAATTCTATTAGTTTATCACCTTTTAGATCTCTCTCCCTGCTCCTTTCCCCTGTGCTGTAAGTACAGTTACATAGCAGTTATTAAACTATACCATAATTATTTGTTTTCTTGCCTGTCTCTGTGCTGGAAACTGAACCTTTTGGGGACAGGGACCATATCTTATTTCTGTACATACATGGTCTTACATCATTCCTGGTTCAAAGTAAACATTCAGTAAAGCTTTTGGTTGAATAAAAGGATGGATGGAATGTAACCATTGAGAGCCTACTCTGGTCTGAAAGGAGAACCTCATTTATAATTTTTCTCAGTTTATCAATTGGCTATTTCTGCGTAATCCCAAAATTTAGTGGCTTAAAACAGTGGTTCTCAAGGTGTAATCCCTAGATCAGCAGCATCAACATTACCTGGGAACTTCTTAGAAATGCAGATTCTTGGTTCCTACCATAAACCAACTGGATTCAAAACTTGGATGGGGCTTAACAGTCTGTGTTTTAAAGGCCCTGTGGGTGATTCCAATGCTGGCTCAAGTTTTAAAAACACTGGCTTAAAAACAACAACCATTTATTTAGCTCGTGATTCTGTGGGTTGGCAATTTAGGCTGGGTTTGCCTGGGAAGTTCTTCTGGTCTCAGCTGGGCTTCCTCGAGTGTCTGTGGTTAGCTGTTGGTCAGCTTTGATGATCTTGGAAGGACTGTCATATGTTGTGACTTCAGCTGGGACGACTGAGCTGACTTGGCTGTCTTGTACATGGTCTGTCATCCTCCAGCAGGCTAGCCTGGGCTAACTTGGGCAGAAGGTCCAAGAGAATGGAAGTGTACAAAGTCTCTTGAGGCCTCGGCTTGGAAATGTCACAGCATCACTTCTGCTGCATTGTTTTAGCTGTAGTAACTCACAAACGTAGCTCAGATTCAAGAACTGGGGAATTAGACTTCATGTCTTGATGAGAGGAGCTGCAAAGTCGCGTTGCAGAGAATGTTGATTCTTGGAGGTTATTAATTGGGATCATCAGTGGACAATCCCTCTACCATAGTGCCTCCGGGAAGAACCTTAAGAAGATAGTTTTTCTGTGTAGAACATGTCACCATGGCTCTTTTCCATCTATTAGGGGATGAATATTGCTTTTGCCCATAATGGCGGGGCTGGGAATAACTAACAAGAGTAGCTCAGGGTCCCCCATATGATGGGGAAGGAAATTTGAGTAGAAGTGGTCTTGGGAATGTCAGCACTAGATAGAATCCAAGATCCTGAATTTATTCTTTCCCAAGAACTAAAGGGAACTTCAAGGGAAGTGACTCTAAATTGATTACCTTGGCTTTCTCTTGCTTCTGAATACCTTTAACTCTAAGAAACCACAAAATAAGAAGTACCTGTCTCCCCATTTAAGTCAGTGATACAGATACAGGCTGCAGTAGAACGGCTTTGGCTTAGTGGAACCTAGTACATACCTGGAAGCAAAATCTTTGACCTTGGACATGGTGTCCAGGAGAGCAGGAATTCATTCTGGAAGAAATTTGATGACTGCCTGGGTTCCACTTGCCAGAAAGCTTTCTCTGTAGTCGGCTCCTGTGAGTAGCCCCTCTGATCCAGTAACTACTCAGGGGAATTGATAACATAGTTGTTATGTAATATCAGTGTCACATCATTTGACCCTGTCTTCCCGGGATCAGAGTAGCCTTCTTTTAGTTTATGACTTGACTTTCTAAAGCTCAAAGTTTGGTCCCTGAATTATCTTATTGATTTCAGCACTTCCCAGAAAGGGAGACAGAGATGAGAGATTGTCAGCCTTGTTTTACAGATGGTAAAGCTAGTAAACAGACAAGTTAGGAGACTTAGTTTCAGGAATCTTGCAGTTGGAAGTGACCATAGACGTTATCCTGCTTCTAATTAAGTTCCTTTTGAGGCTCTGATGCCTTCGTATGTTTCCACTCATTAGCCCTAGTTTTTTGTTTGAAGCCACATAGAATAACTCTGATCTTTATTATTCACATCAGCCTTTTATTTTAATATATTAGAAGACACTGACCATTGTCTGCCTTAAATACTGTCTTTTCCAGACCAAGAACTTCCCTAGTTCTCTGTGCTTTATATAGGATCATAATACTTATATTTGTAGAGTATTTGTGAAGCTCTTTGTAGAGCAGTTTGCACACACTTCACAGAGATTACCTAATTTGATACTCCCCATTCTGTGAGGGCTGTATTCGATTGTAATACTTCTATTGTCCTTGTTTTAAAGATGAGAAAACTGAGGCTAGTTGTGGTTAAATAATTTATCCAGAGTTACTTGGCTAGAGAAGTCAGAATATACATTGTCATTCCTGGCCTGAAGTTTTCTCTACTAGGACAACCATCTTTCTCTCTCTGATTTCAAGACCTGTTTATTTTCTTTTGGACACTTTTTAGTTAAGTTCTCTTTCACTCTACCCTAGAATGCTTTTCCTAGGACTGAATGTAGTATTGTTGGTCCTCTGTTGTCCAACCAGTCCATAGTATGTAAAGACTCCATCACACTGTGAATACTCACTGTATTTCTGTTGGAACAATCTGGAATGCTTTCGTTGTTTCAGTGCTGCTTTGGCTCATACCACGCTTATGGTCTACTGCTTCAACACATGGTTGTAAAGATTAAAAATCAAATGATGCTTATGAAGCATTTAGTACATGGCACCAATAAGTGTTAGCTCTGATTTTTGTTATAAACATCACTAAAAATTTCCATGAACTCTTGTCACACCAGGTCTCAGTGCAGATCAGAGGTAGAGCAGGGAATAGACTCCTGAAAGTCTGAGATGAATCTGACATGACCTTAGACCCCTGTTTCCTGTGACATTGAATGTTAGTCTTGGAAAATAATTTGGAGGTCATTTCATCCAACTTCGTCAGTTTTTCAGGTTAGGAGACTGAGACCAGAGGATAAACAATTTTTCAGAAAACAGCAAGTTAGTAATAATTGTGTAATTAAGTCATTAAGTTAGTTATTAAGTCATGAAACTGACCAAAAAAAAACCCATTCCTGTTGAGTTGATTCCGACCCAGAGCGATCCTATAAGACAGAGTAGAACTGCCCCATAGGGTTTCCAAGGAGTGGCTGGTGGATTCAGACTGCCGACCTTTTGGTTAGCAGCCCTAGCTCTTAACCACTGGGCCTTCAGGGCCCCATGAAACTAACAAATAGGGCTATGTTCCTGTTCTTAATGAACAGGAGTGAGAGAGAGGGGAAACATGTCCGCTCTAAATTGATGCATTTTTCTTTGTCTATTTGTGTGTCTTGATAAATTAAGAGAGAGGATCCAAGATTTTAACTGAGTATGTCAAATTACCAACACTGGATGAGTTTGACCAATGATCTCACATGGTTTTTTTTTTTAACTATCTCGTTCTTAACAAAGTTGACCTCACTTCAGCTTAGGATAAAAGCCTGGGACATGATGTCCACACAAGAGGCTAGGTCCATAAAAGCAGGGACCCTGCCTTCATTTGTATTTGTACCCTCAGCACCTAGTACAGTTCAGTAGACATTTTCCGAGTGAGCAAATACCCAGTGGAATGCTGATTCAGTTGATTCTTTATTATCTCCTGCCAATCTGCCTGTCTCTCCTTTGCTGCTCCTATAGGAAGGGCTAAGCAGTTTGGTCTTTTTGAAATGAAAAGGCATCTCAGAATCCTCTTGCAGCCTCTGGATATTCAGGAATGTCCTTTGAAGCCCTCAAACATGCTTCTGGGTTCTTTGTTGTGGAGAAATGTCTAAACCTGGTGCCTCTTCGATCTACGGTCCTTGGCCTCGCCCGCTTCTCATAACTGTTTGGCTTTTATGTCTCTGCAGGATTGCACCTGGGTGCATGTGCAGCTGGGTCGGATGAACCTGGCCCAGAGGGCCTCACCTCTACCTCCCTGCTGGACCTCCTGCTGCCCACTGGCCTGGAGCCACTGGACTCAGAGGAGCCCAGTGAGGCCATGGGACTAGGAGCTGGCCTGGGAGCCCCTGGCTCTGGCTTCCCCAGTGAAGAGAGTGAGGAGTCCCGGATTCTGCAGCCACCACAGTACTTCTGGGAAGAGGAGGAGCTGAATGACTCAAGCCTGGACCTGGGACCCACTGCAGGTAGCTCGTCTTACCTAAAGAGTGTGTGTTAATTGCCAGCTGAGTGTGAGACAGTGTAGGCAAAATGCCAAATAACCATTTCCGTGGCTGGATCATCTCTCTCCTCTCTCCACTAGTTGTTACGATATTCACCTGCACACCAAAGCGAAGTCTCTGGGACTTACTGGCCTAGGAAGCACTTTTCTCTTTAATAGTAACTACTCTTCAGTGAGCACTTACTGTGCTCACATAATTTAATA